GGGCCAATTCCCTACATGCCCATGTGATTTCACCCAATTCCTTCTACGCCCCTAAAATTTGTTTGATCTCTTATATATCGCTGAGTTTTTATTTGGATCCCTTACATACCCATTTCGTTAGTTGACTATTAGTTATTGTAGAAGTTACTTTATTGTCCTTGGTATATTGTTAAAAGCTAGGTTTTATGTGTAAATTATTTGAGTTGTGAAAACCAATAAGGAATAAATTACTAAATATTTGTTATGAATATTTAAAAATAAAACATTATTTCATTAAAATAAAAAAGATTTATTGTAAAAAAAGTTCTGCATAAAATTTGAAAATTACTTTTCAACAAATATTTAGTGAAAAAAGATTCGTTGTGAAAAAACAAAGGGGATGTAATTAGTTTATCACAAATTAGAAAACAAATTTAAAAATTTTTAAATAAATTTCAGATCAAATTTGATGAATTTCGTATATCTTCCCAAAAATTTAAACCTAAATAACATTTAGTTTTTGCTCTTAATTTTCTAGTGAAACTAATGTATGGATTTAATCATAATTTTTAAAAAATAAAAAATAATAAGTTTTATTTTTTAAGTTGAGCATTAAATGATTATATTGCTTGTATTTTGTATAAGTTAATTTTTTTCATATGAAAATTTATTGGGTAGGTACCACATATGTATCGGATGGGTAATATAGTCATTTTAAAATATTTAACGGTCAACTAATGGTCAACTAACGGAGATAGGTATAGAGGAGATCAAAATGAAAACTCAGGGGTATATAAGGGATGATGTCAAATTTAGGGGTATCGAAGGGATTGAGTAAATTTTCAGGGGTATATAGGAAATTTTCTCTAGAACTAAAGACAATTTTACCATACTCTTTCTCCTAGGAAAATTCTCTTTTTACCCTTACTAGCTAGGTCGTACCTACCTTTTAAGTGGTACCTTTTTATTATGGAGCGTTGGATTTTTACTCCTTTTAAAGGCAAACATGGCAAAAGCTCTCCAAAGATAAACCATGTGATGGAAGTGAGGAATGTGGCCATGCGGCCAGATAAATCATTTTTATTTCAAATGGATGTTTGATATAATTGGTGATTATTTGATCGGTAGATCTTCTCCATTGTTAATAATATTGCTCAAGCATGAAGTATTTTCGAGAATATATGAAGCATGTAGGATTTGGTTATAGATGTGTGATGTGGTTATTTTTTTTCTTTTTTAGGCTATAACCTCCCTAGTCTTGTAATTTTTTTTCTACTCTATCAATACAAAACATCACACTACCTCATGCATGTTGTTAAAAAAAACATATCCCAAGAACACAAAACCATGACCATAAGCACGCTCCCGTTTAACTATTTGACCCTAGAAGAATTTATGAGTGTCGCCTGAATTAGAACCGACGGTGATCAAAGTGTCGATTTCTATAGGTCAACCAAAAGTGGAACTAGTTTGACTAACAGTTTATAAGTCACTGTTAGATCTAAATTAGAGGGCAGAGATTCGCTGCTCTTGAGCATAAAGGCTAATTAGCAGGCAAGGGTCAAGTTCTCCAACATCTCGAGGTTGTAGCACACAAACTCTGTTCTTTCCAAGAAATGTGTCATTCAGTGCAATACATGCATTCTTTTTTAGATAATGGAATAGCAATCCATCCCGGCTTTTGCTCAAACGAGCTACAGCCAATTATTACACGAAATCACTCAAAATGAGTCACTACTAGAAAAAGCATTATCGCCAGCGGTGGAAACCGGTCTTCGCAGGAGGGCCGGCCATCTGCCTGTAAGCAAACGACTATGAAGATCGCCGATCTTCGTAGGCAGGACGGCTGTCCGCTTGCGAAGACAATTTTTGCAGGCGGATGTTAGCTAGTCAGGTCCGTCTGCGAAAATAGGAAGTGGCCGCCTGCAAAAAAAAAAACTTCCGCCTGCGAAGATAGGTAGAAAATTTTAAATTTTGATACAATAATAATTTGTCCATAAATTACTTTTTAATTATTTAATAGAAATTGATGCAGGAAGATTATTAGTAATTATCAAACATATGGTACTTAGAAATCTACATATATTGCATAAGTGAAAAGTGTTGTCAAAATATATATATTACAATATTTTTTTGCATTGTCACTTAAAATACGCCATCTAGCTACATTATGGCATAGCAGTGTTCCACTCCTGAAGTTGCTTGAATTCGTCACTTGTAGCTCGGGCACCCTCTGGGTTGAAGAATTCTCCTCGCACATGACAGCACTCACGGTGGATGAAGTTGCACAGATCGCGCTGGACATTTGTGATGCCTGTATCGTCAAAGCTTGTTCGAAGTTCTATTCTTGGCAACTGCATGCTGTCGGTGACATGGGGCCGGGGGTATCGTGACTAGAGGCTTGGGTAGCCGCGGTCACCCACGTGGCCGGACCCCCTCGGGGGGGTCGGGCCCGAGGGCGACGTGGCCATCCCTCCCTCTGTCTCCCCGAGGGGTCGGGCCGCTCCCGTTTCGGCCCTGAGGGCTGGGGCGCCCCGACCCCCTGTGGTTTTGGCGCCACGTGTGTGGGTTAGGTGAGCACAGCGGGCTCACCTAACCGCATTTATAGCAGGTTGGACGAGCGCGCCACGCCGCATTTAATGCGGCGCAGCGCACGCTTATCCGGTCCGTGACCGGTCGCGGTGAGTGACCGGTCACAGACCGGTCAGATCGCGGGTTAGGTGGCAACAGGCGGCCTGTCACACGCCTCGCCCCGTCCCGTCGGAATGATGAGAGCTTCCTGGCTCTCGTCCCTAGCCGGAGCCGGCGTGCCAACTCCAGGAGTTGGTATGTCAGTCCCGGTCAGATCCATTCCAGGCTTCAGCGCAAGTATGGCAGGGAAGTCGCTGACCATTAAATGAAGGTTGAAATGGGCGTCCACCGGAAAAGCGGGCGAGCGGGGCAGGAGGCGTGCGCTCTGCTTGTCAGAGGTCACTTCCGGCTGTAGATTAGCCCTCATTGTAAAAAGCATGTTTCCCTTCTTAGGCATCTAGAGGCCCATGTGGTGACCCCTGACCAGATAAAAGGAGGCCCAGGCCTAGAGAGAAAGGAAGGAGAAGAAAAAAAAAAGGAGAGGAGGGAAGTTGGGACTCTGGCGAATGGTTTCTAGAGCCTGAACTCTCTCTCGCTCTCCGCCTCTCTGTATTCCTTCACACACAGATCCACCAGAACACAGGAGTAGGATGTTACGCTTCTCAGCGGCCCGAACCTGTCTACATCGCCCGTGTCTTGCGCATTTCCTCTCTCTCTGACGTTCCTCAGATCGAGGGCGAAGAACCTCACTTAGCGCCCCCGGCCGAACCGGCAAAGGGGGACCTGCGCGGTCTCCCGGTGAGGAGCCCCACGCTCCGTCACATGCATTGAAGAAAAATAATATATTAGTATTATAAATATGTGAAGCTGTCTAGTCCATAGTCTAGAGATTTACATCCTCTGCGTTAACCCTGTACCTCCCATTAACCCTGAGGAATTCGCACGCATAATACCTGCAGAGGACAATGCCTCTAGGTTGCTTGTGATACTTCACGACATATCATAGAAGAAAATAGTTAAATTTTGCAATTAGTGAAATAATTGGAATACATTAAGTGAGTGAAGTCTTACCGGCTAATATGTATGTACTAGCAGCTTCTCCCTTGTTTGGGTCTGTTCTCCACCCTAGAACTTTTAGTAGTTGTATGCACTGTATGGATGTCGTACCATTTCGCATTAAGGAGGATATTTAATTATAATACATTCATATGAAAAATACAAGAGTCCGAATCACTTATTACTGTAAGATTATTAGAAATTCTTTGTATAAGTGGTGACTGTAATCGAGACTGGTCCTGGACTCCGAGTTACACTCGAAGTCGACTTGGTTTCTTTTCTTTCGCCCAAGCTAGTATCTCTGCAAACGAATACACACAAAACTCATTGTGTAGCAACGTTTATTCGAATATATAACAAGTAAATCTAATATAGAACATATGCACCTTCGGTGGAATAATACATAAGGTAGTCATGGTTATATCCGAGCGAGTTGTGTCCTCATCAGCTAGCCAACTGATGAACCACAAAAACAATATCAAGTCTTTTGCAATTGGCTAAATACATTAGTGCTCCAATGGCGTTTAAGTAGGGAATTTTGGGTCCCATTATTTCCTCATTATCTTCCTTGGGTTTTAATGTGTCCTTATAAGCTTCTATGGATCGAACTACCATGGGGGTTTTAAAAGAATGGCATTTGTTCATATTGAAGTTACCAAGGACTGTCTTTGTGTAGGGAGATCGGTGCATAAATACTCCTCCATGGAGGTGCTCGAGCTGCTGGCCCAAGCAAAACTTGGTTTTCCCCAAGTCCTTCAATCAAGCTCGATATTAAGACAAGCCATTGCTTATTTAGGAGAGAATCTATTCTATACTGCTGATTTTGTTTGAGTTCAGCGATTTGCCATCGACATTGTCTTTTATTTAATGTCCTCTATGGTGGCAATGATATTTAGATCATAGACATAGACCGAGATGATATACAAAATCCATTCAGGGATTTCTTTGAAAACACATGTGGACAATCATAATTGTTTGAATAACCTCTCTTCTAGAGATATCTACTTAACTCTTTGAACCACAACCTTCCGGATTGTTTCAATCCATACCATGATCGCTGCATGTGCACACTATACATGTTGCAGTTTCCTTTTGAATTTGTGATCTTGTGTCCTTTAGGGACTCTCGTATAAAATTCCAAATCTAATGACCCATAAAAGTATGCCGTCAATACATCCATCAACTTCATGCATGGGTCCACATCCTTCATGAACAGAACATCTGGAGGTGATTAATTCTCATTGTTCTAAGCTAAAAAAAAGTAGAGAAGAGATGGGATCACATAGCTAATTTTTGGGAGGCCTGCATGCCGTAGGCTAGCGAAACAACCAGGACCACCCAACTAGCATCTATTTATAGCAACTGTATAAGAGCCCCTCGACGAAAAAGTCTACCAACGATCTCCATGCTGCACCGTGCATCTATGCCTAGTTTTCTTACCCTCCCTCCACCATAAATACGCACCCATCTGCAACATAGATCACCAAACATATCGACCAATCCCTCTTCCAGTCAAGAAAAAAGGAAGATTACACCAACAAACAAACTAGCTAGCCAATGGCCTCTTTGTCCTCTTTCCGGCTCGCCGTGGCGGTGGCGGCACTGTTGGTTGTTGGCTCCTGTGCCACTGAGCTCACCTTCAAGGTCGCTGAGGGCTCTAGCGCCAAAAGTCTAGAGCTTGTCACTAATGTTGCCATCTCTGAGGTGGAGGTCAAGGAGAAGGGCGGCAAGGACTGGGTGGCGCTCAAGGAGTCGTCGTCTAACACCTGGACGCTCAAAAGTGAGTCGCCGCTCAAGGGCCCCTTCTCTGTCCGCTTCCTTGTCAAGAATGGCGGCTACCGTGTCGTCGACGATGTCATCCCTGGAAGCTTTACAGCTGGCTCTGAGTACAAGAGTGGAATCCAACTCTAAGTAACAGACATGTGTACTCTTGTTGGGTCACATGCGAAATATGAACATCTAAATAATCCTCTCTTAAAAGAGATCGTGTCATGTTTGAGTGAGCAAATAATTATTATTTTTGGTTATTTTGTTGTAATAGGCCGATGGCAACATAAGGCATACATGTGTCCTTCCAAAATATTGCTGCGGAGCTGTATGTGAGCATTGTTTGGAATATATGTCATTTATATAAGATATATGGAAAAAAGTATATTTGGTCAACTTTCATTAAGATGATTGCATCTGTTTGATTTTCCAAAGTTTTAGTACATACTTATGTCCAAACCAATGTAATCCATTTCACTTATTTTAGCTTGTCAAAAAATTTGTAAAGTCACATCTACACTTTTTTTTCATTTTCTAAAAACAAATAGTTGAATTGACTATACTATGACCTAAAACTATAAGCATTAAGCATATTGGTACATCGTTTACCTTACGAGAGAATACATTATATACCACTGTGTTTGTCACAGGTCTACAGTTTGCTATTGACTTTGTCACGTTCTACAATATGCCATCGACTTTTCCTTAACTTCTACGACTTACCATCACCGTCCGGTTATCCTTCGTGAGAAATGTATAATTTTATCCAATGACCAAAATACCCCTATAACAAATACTTCCAAAATTTGGAAAAAAATTTTGAAATATCATATTGTAAACATCCAAAATTTGGCCAAAAACTTAAAATCTGATATTTTAGAATTTTTGTCTACATTTTGCAAGTTTTTGTCCTGGAGGTATTTTGGTCATTAGAACAAAATTGTACAGTACTAATGGAGGCTAACCGGACAGTAATGGTAAATCATAAAAGTTAAGCAAAAGTCGATGGTATATTATATAATGTGACAAAGTCAGTGGCAAATCTTAGACATGCAATAAACTCAATGGCATTGCCGGTCTAATTGGCAGAGTCCGAGTCAGACTCCATTTTCATCGGGTCTCTGGTTTCCTTACTTGGGAAGGTATGTTTCGGATTTCCATTGGTTTCTATCCCGAGTTGGACATGGAGAAGGGCTTATAGAGGGCAAGACCAACCCCTATATAAGGAACAAGGCCGGTTCAATTGTTACCTGACAAACACACAATCAATAGAATCGTTCTTTTACTTTACTTTTAGCCATGTTTTCTACTTTACCCTAATTTTGGTTCATCTTTATCGATTTGCACCGTTTGCCCACAAAGAGGTGCCGCACTCAAAAAATTAGGTTTGTCCTAAAAACCTTCCGTTTGCCCACAAGATGGATAGTTATCCTCATATTGATTTAAATCGGCCTAGAGGCTGATTTTGATCTCTAAATCGGCTTCGCTAGCCGGTTTAGCTTTCTTTTTACAAAACCCATCTTGATTTGGTTGTTTGGCTAGATCGGGGTAGTTGCCGACTCCATATCCCCGTAAGGTGTTTAGGTGCTGCGATCGTGCTTGTCGACTTCTCACAAAAAGTTGCCAACAGTAACAACAAAGATAAATAATGTGATGGAAGAGGGGAATGTGCAGCACACCGTTTCAAAATTGATGATTGATAGTTGGTGACGATTTCATCGCTACAACATCTCCAATGTTGTACTCTCTCCGTCCTATAATATAAGAAATTTTAGAGGGATATGATACATTTTAAGACAACGAATCTAGATGTCCTAGAATGTGTCATATCCCTTATAATATAGGATGGAGGGATTATAAGTGAATGTTATCCAATAAATTCAACCAACTTCCGTAATCATACGTGTACCTTTTTAACTTTTTTATGCACACACGCAAAAAAAAAAAGTGGTTACGTGTCAACAACTATAGACACCACGATCGATTTGAACTAGAGCAGATGGAGTGAAGGACTCCATATGTCCACCACCTACCTCTGAAATCGAGTCAAAAAGATATGCGCTAATTCAGATATGACAACCTATTGTAACTATTAAGCAGAGCAAATAATGTATTATCACCTCAGGATTTAAGCATATTAAACAGGGCAGCAAATCATCACATCATAGCTATGTTCTCAAACATCTCAAGATTCTATGAAAAATACTCTGTTCTTCCTATGATATGTGTCATGCAATGCAATCCATGGGCTTGTAAAGACCCTTCTCTATTATTTATTGCAGCATATATGATAATAAGTGGTGTAAACAAACAACCAACTTCTCCAAAAGTTCGAGGGCCTTTCACTATATATATACATGAGTTTCTCTGCATTTCAAATAAGCTATACACCAAGGACATCGTCTCTCTCATTTACCAATATGTTTAGTTCTCTAGATACTATAACTAGATTAAGATTACCGGATTAACTTAAAAATCTGGTATGCTGATGTCACGAGAGCTTGCAATTAAGAAATACAGATATTAAACTAGTGTTGGACCATAGAAGTACAAGCCATTCATGGACTATATAAATAGGCCAAGGCTAGTGCTCAGCCAAAAGCTGAAGATACTTTAACTCGTATTCTAATATTTATCATATTGAAAACCCTTCCAACATGCATGTGCTGCCTTGTGTATAAACATCTTCAGATACGTACACATGCTTAACTTAACTAGTTTAGGCTTAAGAGGCATTGGGAATCCGGGTGTAGCTACTCCCACATAGTGCATTACGGAAGTTGCATTCTTCACTTGTTCGCAGTGAGTTTGGTGTTGTTTCAGGATTCACGCTGGACCATTCCTATTAAAAACAACAAACATTCATTCATATTGATGTGTATATCAGAGTTGCCAGAGTAAGTGGTTTGGCATGCATCTACAAAGTATTGTTTACACTGAAATTTTGCAACTCCTAGGCAAAGTTCTCATATCCATCAGACTCTTTGGTGATTTCCAAAAAACTAGAATTCCAAGCGTGCTGGGGGATTTCGTATATACCAGAATTTCCATTCTTAAATCAAACCTTGTAGTCAATTTATTTTATTAAAGCAGATAGCTTGAGATTTGGTCGAAGGATAAATACCACAACAGGCTAATCTGTCAGAAAAATGGCACTGCGAGCCGACATCTAGTATGCAAATATAATGCTTTTTTCATTTAATTTGGCTTGGCTAGCATCATGCTAATTAGGCCAGGGAAACACTAGGAGCATTTCACTAGATCGATACGTGGCCGGGGGGAAGATCAACCATGAAGATGAAGCGAGGCCGAAGGGATTGATACTGAACCAAAACGAATTAATACCACTTATTTCTGGAAAAAAACGGCTTGCACTTTATAATTATCAGCAGTATATGTATATATTCTGGCTCTTGTGCTATTATTCAGGTTTGTTCAACGTTTTGGACCATTGTCCATTAGATGATTGGTGATGGACTGTTTGGAATCTAGCCGATTCATCAAGCGCGAGTTCCCCCGCTTCGCCCCCAAAATCAATCACGACATCATCATCGCATAAACAGAACAATACAAACAACACAAACAAGAAATCTACCGGATCCGTCCGCGGGTCGCCGCCGCCGCCGTTAGATCCAACGGAGAAGTCGTCGCCATCGCCAGATCTGCGGGAGAAGGTTGGGGCGAAGGGGGAGATCACTAGATCTGCTCGCCGGAAACGCCGTCGCCGCCTCCTCCGCAGGATATGCCCATGGGAGCGCCGATGCAACCGCCGCTGCTGCGGTAGAAGCTTGGGCGCGGAGGATGAGGAGGAGGGGGTAGAGAACCGCCAGATTCAGTCGCCGAAAACGCCACCACTATCGCCTCCGCCGGATCTGCCCGTCGGAAACGCCACCGCCGCCAACTCCGCAAGATCCGCTAGCGGGAGCTACCGACGCCACTGCCATTGCCTTCACCAGATCCACCACCCACCGGAAATGCCACCACCACGGACGGATCTGCGGGAGGGGGTTGAGCAACACCGGATCCGGCCCACGGGAACGCTGCCGAAGGAGAAGCTTGGGCGCGGTGGATGAGGAGGAGGGGGTAGACGACCGCCAGATTCACTCGTCGAAAACGCCACCACTGTCGCCTCCGCCGGATCAACCTGCCGAAAACGCCACCGCCACCAACTCCGCAAGATCCGCTAGCGGGAGCCGCCGACACCACTGCTACTGCCTTCACTGGATCCACCCATCGGAAATGCCACCGCCACCGATGGATCTGCGGGAGGGGGCTGAGGAACGCCGAATCCGGCCCGCAGGAGCTGCTGACACCATTACCACCACGAGGGGAGGAAAGGGGTGACTGAGTGAGAGGGGGAGAGAGACGGGTGAGAGTAGGGCAGCGAATGATAAGGTCGCCCCCCGTCACCTCCCACGCGTGCCTTTATCCACTCGCACGCGGCTCTCTCTTGGCTCGGCTCGTTTGATAGGTGCGTTTTTTTTAAATACCGGCACCGATAATATATTATAGCTGGCGGTTTTTAATATATTATAATTGTCGGTTTTTTTTAAAAAAATAGCACTTATAGTATAGGTATTGGTTTTTATATTAAACCGGCACCTATATTCACTTAAAGGTGATGGATTTTTTTTTTGTATTTTCAGCCTGTGGAGGTGGGCAAAACACTATAGGTGCTAGTTTTAGCTGTTCCGGTGCCTATAGTGCCAATATGTATGTGCTTTTTTATATTAGTGATGCTGAGGGTTTCATACCAGAACTTCCATTCTAAAATCAATCCTTCCAGTCAATTTATTTTATTAAAGCAGACAGCTTGAGGTTTGGGGCAAGCATAAATACCACACCAGGCTAACCGATCTGAAAAATGGCACTGTGAACCTACATCTATATAGTATGCTAATATAATGCTTCTCTTTGGCATGGCTAGCATCATGTTAATTAGGCCTGGGAAGCACCAGGACGTTCACTTGCACCATGGAAAGAAGTCAACAGCCTTCACTGTATGGTTATGCCGATTCGGTTTTTTTTACGTGTCTACTTGGTGGGTAAGGATCGATAGGGTGCTCCGGAGAGGAAGCATTCCACGAAGATGCTAGATGAATGCTCCGGTTAAATTTCTGAATGAGGATATCCACCTTTGCTAATCTCTATCATTAGTAATTATTTACAATAATTAATATATTTTGTTGTTAATTGGTAATTAACTTGTCAAAAATAGTATTGATAAGATATAATTAGTCTATTTTGTTGTTAATTAGTATAAACTATGACTATATTAATGATAATTAATATATTTTATTATTAATTAATATGTTCAATCCATTCTTATCCACCCAATCAAACAAGAAATTGGATCATCATATCTATTAGAAAAAAAAACTGACCATATCTGTGTAAATATGGATG